AATGGTATTCTAATCTTTTAATTCGTATATTAATCATATGTATGATATACGAACTACCTGTAACATGTGTAATTTGTTTATATATCATTTATTTATCACGTTGATGAGTGGTACTTGCTATTAATTTAATAAATTAAATCAGTGATAAAATATCAGTATTAAAATAAAAAAATCTGTATAAAGGATTAAACAACCCTTAACATATGAATATTGGACGAAATCTGTTCTCATCCGTCGATCACAAAGAATTGGTCCAGCTTTTGGGAAACGATGGAACACCTAAAACGATAAAATCGTTACTGTTCAGTATCAGCCGTGGATTTTGCGCAACAGAGCACACACCCTCTTTTCCTCTTTCTCCGGCTGAGGGTGAGGGATTGGCAGAGAATGTAGACCTCCGTGGCAAACTATACACCAAGCAGAGAGTATTGATCACACGATGGTAGCAACGGTGAACTTTAAACAGGTTACCCTGGAGATTTCAGATGGAAATTTAATTTTCCTGGGATTTTCTTACGGATAAATCATCCCTTCGAATAACCCACTTAAATATGATCTCAGTTTTTGCGTCTCTTCCTGTAAAATATTGTACGGTGATAGATAATCAGAGGAAGAATTGGGAATGGGCACGAACAGCACAAATAACACGGTTTTTAAATTTAGTAACGATAAAGTATATTTAAAATATAAATTATTGGTCAGTACATTTTAAAATACCCTACAATATACAGGGTGTTAAAAAATGAAGCAACTCTGGAGGACTGTAGTGTCCACCAAGGAGAATGACAGATAGTTAATCTAAAATCAATACTTTTCGGGCTAAATGTAATTTTATATCTCTTTGGACAGTTACTTAAGGAGCACGAGTTACTCATCCATGGCAAATAACGTCTTCACTTCCTTCTTTTATCTATTGGATACGTACACCGCAATTTCGACCAAAGATATATACTTAGACTTAGGAACACTTCTTGGCCAGTAGATCGATGTGAATGAAAAATACATTAAAAAGTAATTCATAAGAAATTACAACAACACCCTAATTAAAATTAACAACCTTCTACGACAACTATAATCCAACCATACCTATTAGAGCTTAGAAGCTACCCCAAACGCTGAACTCCGAGGTCAGACCTAAGACCATTCTCGACCCTAACTCCGAGTAACATACGCAACGTGGTTGTTCATAAACGAAAGAGAGGGGTGAAATGGTAAGAAGTAAACGAGCGTTCAGGTTAATTCGATTTTCATCGATCGAGTTACGTTTTCCTCGAAGCTAAACGACCTGTACGCGTGTGCGAGTAGACAGGTGTTGCGGGAATAACGAGAACGCTCGCGTTGTGCTCGCTGTTTTCAGCCAACGGCGTGAAATTACCTGCCGCGTGTTGTGTATACGCGAATGGCGAAACGAAACGAATTGGACGCGATCACCTGGAAGAGAGTGCTAGTAAGCCGACACGCGCGTTTACAAACAGAGTATTTTCTCACCGCATCTTGCGTTATGACTCAGATCACGAAAATGTTAGACGCGTCAGCCGATAGCAAGGTTCGTCTGTGCTCGCTAGAGGTAAAGAGGTAAAGATCGAAGCGAATGTGCTTAGGTGCGATTTCATCGATCACGTTAATCGCATTCGCCATTGTTGGCTTCGGTATGCACTCCCTGATTTCTTCTTTCTTTCCCTTCTCTGCGTTTCTTCGTTTCTTGGATCCAAGCTTCGAGTTACGCGTAGCTTTGTATTCCTGAGTTTGGTTTGCGATTATGGTTGAGGCTTCGAGAAAACTTGGATTTGTAAAACATGTGATCTGTGGACTAGCAAAATTAGTATTTCTATATTTAAATCTGGATTTTTTCAACTCTAATAGACGAATACGACAGAGGGGATATTTAAAATGAAAAATTTATTAAAAATCTTGGGAAATGCAATTTCCCATTCAGCCTTCGGGTCTGTGTACTATAGGAACTCTTCTGACGACGGGATTTATGCAGAGAAATGATTCAACATCTGTTTAACTTATTCTGAAACAATTAACGAGAGAGTTAGTATTTTATAAAATTATTTTTGAACAGATTTTGTATTTTAAATATTTTATTTTGTCGTATTCGTCTCTTATGTTTGAGAACAATTGTGTTTATCATAGAGCATGTCTGAAATATTGTTTGACATAATTGTATTTTGATTTTCTATAATCCATATTTTTTAACTATTATATTCTTCAATATATAGTTAATTTAGTTTGTTATTCTATGAATATTTGTTTTGTTGAAAGTATCTCTTAATAATTTGTTTTCCTTTGTTAAATAATTCTTCTACACATGCTCTATGTGCATTATAGACATAAAGAGAATGTCACGGACAAATGTTTAGATTATACTTCGTGATATATTAGGAATAATGTATTACACGTTACATAATCCATAAGAGAGAATTTTTATGTATACATTATTTTTAATACTTTTATTTACGAGAGAATAAGAACTCCTATGATATAATACTAAATGACTGTTTCGTGTTCTATAAACTCTCATAATTAACATGATTCGAAACACTTTGAAAGTAGAACCTAAACGCTCCAAATAGACTATTGTTCCAAATCATTATTATCAATGCACATAAGTGTCTGAAGTAAAACTATGGAAATAATTTTAAATAAAATTCATTCATATAAAAATCTTTAAATAGGCACTTATTATTAGCTGTTTTTCCAGTTTACGATCAACTAATCATTGCGGAAGTTATCCATCCGTTATATGACGTTCTGTGTTCGTATTGGCGAAATAGGATATTTTAAACGAATTGCATATTAGTATCAAGGCCGTTTTAAATATCTCATAGTCGTCGGAACAGTTGTGTAATCCTACTCCTCCATCTCGATCGAAACATGGTTTTATCGAGAAAGGATAACTATGATGCGTGTTCGTGTTTAATGCGATGATTTAATTTACGAGAGTTCGTTGCCACGTGATATTTTCAGTAATGTTGCATTACTCATCGACGCACGTACATTTCCTCTGTCACGTTTAACACATACAAATCATTAAGCGTTTGTGTCCCGTATCATTGAAACTTCGTAGTAATATAAACAAAAGATATCGTGAATACCAACATTAAAACAATAGTTATCATTGAGGATTGTATCAATTAGGTACCGTTACAAAATCTGCTTTCGATGTAAATTCATATCTTAAATTATAATGATAACAATGAATCTATGATAACTGTTATACTAAAAGTCAATTTAGAACATTCAGAAATTGCGTTCCATTAATTTAGAAGAGTAGAGAGTATATTCAAAAGTTGGGATGATTTAGAATTTGCGAAGAAAGGAAAATCAATTTTTCTTGCTGTTTCAAATCCCTCTGAAATATAAATATTTTATTTAAAATTTCGTAATATCTTCTAGTTAAAATTAAATAATATTTTTAGGATTTTAAATGATTCGAAGTTAATTACCGTGGATACATCATATTCGTCATTACAAATTTTACACTCGTTTTATGACGTATGCATACGGATGATGACAGCTAGTCATCAAACACACGGCTAATTGTAACTGTCGAATGATACCTTGCCGGTGTTTGAACAGCAATATTTATTAGTTTTTCATGGAAACATATGCATTGCTTGTGACCTCATCCCATTATCGTCAGATAACGCAATTCCTTTGCAATTCTTCTCCAGTATCTTTGCAATGCCTATGCAGTATCTTCGTAAAACCTTTGCAACACGTGTACAATAGTAAATACAACGTAATTTTGTTACTGAAACAAATGAAAAAAGAAAAAAAAAAAATGAAGAACTTACAGTAAGAAATTAATATGCTTCGTCATAAAATTCCCTTAGATACAGAACAATATTTTGACTACTACTTCGCCATCTATTGCTTTCCATCTCTACGGCTATGCTGAATAACAACTTCCCTTCGTATCTGGGTTTCTTCCATTTTCTATCTCCCTCCATCGTTAATAGTTTTCCCTCTCTATCTTTCCTATTACGTGGCGCGACTTTTTCCAGGATTCTAGCTAACGTGTATCGTCTTTCGATGATCGAACAGTAGGAAAAAAGTCGATCGGTCAGCAAGGTTTATTCCATTCTCGCCTTGTCCAACGGGACGCCACACGCACACGCTACACACAAAACACCACACCCTCACTCCTCTACGCGTATGCGTGTACGAAAGATTAATCACGTGATTCCTTGTAGACAGGATGCTGGTGGTCACTTTTGAAACCACAAAAGCGCATCGACTTACTGCCAGTCGGTTCATTCTTCGAGTGTCTTTCGCACGACACGTGTTTGGTAGTGACGCTAGTGTCGATTTTACCGTCCCATGAGTCTTTTGATGTTTGACAACGAAACCGTTCAACCGTCACAGTACCTTTACTTGTTCTAGACAAAGAAAATAATAAATTTCTTCGGTCGAGGTTAGAATTTGTGTATAATAAGTTCACATATTTTAATTTTATCGTTACAAAGTATCCGTGTATCGTACGCCGTTGTCTATTCTTATTGTCAGTTACATATTATGTACATCTGTAAGTGTAAATGTTCTATAGTGAATTTAATCTTGTAGAATAAATTGATTTGTGAAAAATATATCATTCCGGGTATTATTAACGTTTTATAAATTGCTATACAATCATTTAATACAGAAATAAAGAAATAACCAAGAAATTCTAATTAAAAATTTCGAATCGAGTATACGCGAATAAGACGTGTTCGTATAATACGAATTAATGAATTTATTAAAGAAATTTGACATAAATAGATGATTAAAAGTTAGATACGAAGAATTCACTTTCAGATATTTGATTTTTGGGAAACAATAAGAGGATCTTGAAATTATTATCTCGAACAGCATATCTGCGAATGATTTTATCGACGGTTGTTTAATTTTTTGGACAGAACAAATTCGAGAAGTTATCTATTTGTAATTTTTCGTTGGAATGAAATTCGAATACGTGCTGTGTGATATCTGAACTGTTTTCGTGTCGCGACTTGATGACATCGGAACTCTTCGACTGTTTCGCGTGCGGCGCTCTGTGGGTTGCCAGCGAATGGATCGTTTCCCTTGTGTTTGCGTTCTGGAGCAATCGCGCGGAAAGAATCGATGCTGATCTTGTAAACATGCGACTGCTTGGTTTTGGAACTAAACGGCCAGATGAGGACGCTGGAGTGCGAGGTGAGAATGGCGGTTAGTCATAGAATTGTATAAATTAAGTTATGGACGAAGAAAGTTATTTTGATATTGACGTAAAGAAAATAATATTAATTTCTAGTTACTCTAGTATGTGTACAGTCTGTATACACGTATAATATCACGTAACGTATTTACAGGTATTTTATAATCTGCGATAAGTTACGGTCAATTTAAAACGAACGTGTAATTGATAATGAACTTTTATATTAATTAGATCTCTTATTTACGAGTAATATATAAACAAATTACGAATGAGTATATTATAACTTTCTTTTATTTTTATTCAAATATTAATACAATTAGGTGTATTGCTTATGTTCGATTTGTTTTTTTATTGAGACAGATATCTGATTTATCGATCCTTAAAGGTACGATAGGTTAGGTTCCTATTATTATTTTTATCAATTTCATCTTATTTATATTTAGCATATTATTTTTTACATGAATTTAAATCATGATAATTTTGTATACTTTCGTTGTAAATCTTCTTACTCGTAATTAAAAACAATTAACCCTAATGGATATTAAGAAACGAACAGTAATGTATAAATATAATTTTCTTCGTTCCTCCGATGACTCAAGAACGTCGCGATAGCAGAATATAATAAGTAATAAGTATGTTCTTTTGTGAAAATATAATTAGAAAACAAAAAAGACATTGTTCCATCGGATACTGAATATCCTGGTTCGTTTAATCCAACATTTGGGACCTTGGAAAAAGGCACGGCCTCTTCAAGGCTCTGCCAATACACTGCAATTCTATTAACAAGTAATTTTCGCACATTTTGTCATTGTACGTCTGAGGTCTGTAAACGTGTCTTCACCGAGGACTCTTCAGAGTTGCTATGATTACCATAGCTTTTATAGTTTCCTGAATATATTGCTCTATGTTGTTATCAGAATATTCCACTTATCTTCGTGAGCTGAATTTTCCATTTAATTAGTACAACTTGCTCCATTCATGAATAGCCTATTCACGCAGCAGTATAAATTTAGTCATCTAGCACGATAATTTCTAATTTTAATATTTGAATTGAATATTTTATATCGAATAATTAGGTCTAATGTACTATATTTAATGTATTATAAATATTACTATATTACCGTGTATTAAATATTATTACATTTAATATTTAGTATTTTAAATATTATTACATTTAATATTTAGTGTTTTAGATATTATTATATTTAATATTTAGTGTATTAAATATTATTACATTTAATATTTAGTGTTTTAGATATTGTTATATTTGATATTTAGCGCATTAAATATTAATACATTTAATATTTGGTGTTTTAGATATTATTACATTTAATGTTTAGTGCATTAGATATTATTACATTTAATATTTAATACTCAATTTTATACCGATACTTAAACACTGTGCGTAAAATATATGAATTTAGTGTCTGCTCTGATCTCAACACATAAATTCAGTGATACTCGGGTTTGATATTCGTTTTATATCATATCGTTATTCTCATCTGCTTAGAATATCGTTTTATTAATTTTCTGGACCAAAAATACCTTCAACATTGTTATCTAATTATCTTGCTTGCTAAATTTAGAATTCTCTGTTAGGCATGCGCGTGTCTATTGGTTTTGCTCCTAAAGGGCCAAAAAGACTCGTGCGTCACTGACTTTCTTTTATTATCGACTAACTTTGACCAGTTTAGACTCTGGTCATCGTCAGTATCACTCGACACAGAGCAGAAAAAGCGAAACAGATAGTTCTGCTTCGCTCTGTAATTTATGTCCTCTTGGTATGCTCAAAATGGCCCCTTTGCCATGCTTCACACCCTTTGCATTCCTCTTTGAGAACTAATGCTCGATTTTTCCAGTAATATTCCTCTTCGGGCAATATGACGTCAGTTGGACACAAGAAAATAATTACAATGCAGTTAAAGAGTTTCCCCTGCATTGTTCTGCATACTGTGTAAATGAAATCATACTTTCGAGTGTATATGTATACACATGTGCAATTTTATGGAGTCTATACAAGTAAATTCATATTGGTTATAGAGTCATTTTATCTGAAGTAGTAAAAAAGTAAAGGGGCGTACTAATTCCTTTCAAATTAAAATTTTCAATAAATATGAAATAATAAAGAAATCATATACACGAAGCATTTCAAAGTCTAGATATTTAATTCTTAGAAGTATTATCCAAAATTTCCTTCCTTCCAAAACAAGTAGATTCATATTGGTTATACAATAATTTTATCTGAAGTAGTAAAAGAGTAAAGGGTCGTACCGATTTCTTTTAAATTAAAATTTTCAATAAATATGAAATAATAAAGAAACCATATACACGAAGCATTTCAAAGTCTGGACATTTAATTCTCAGAAGTATTATTCAAAATTTCCTTCCTTCCAAAACAAGTAGATTCATATTGGTTATAGAATAATTTTATCTAAAGTAGTAAAAGAGTAAAGGGTCGTACCGATTTCTTTTAAATTAAAATTTTCAATAAATATGAAATAATAAAGGAATCAATACATAAAGCATTACAAAATTTAGATATTTAGTTCTTAGAAATATTATTCAAAATTTCCTTCTTTCTGAAATAAAATGCTAAAGCAAACTTTCCAATTTTTCCAAACTCTTCCAAATTTTATCGAGTTAGTTAATTTAATAAATAAGTGATTCGATTAATAAATTAAATATCCGAGATTTGTACGCTCTGGAGGGAAAATAATAAATTAACGTTAAAAGAAAATAATTAACATATTAAATATTCGATTATCAACTCACGGTTTTCCTACGATTTCCAAGGAATACCATCACACACTAATAGGAAACAAATTTTTCATAGCAAATGAATTGGTATGTACACGAATGACGGATCCATACATAAACTTCCTTCTTCTTTCTTTTTCGCCTAAGAAAAGGAAATGACGCGTGTGTAACCAAGGCGATCCCCGGTTCTTGACGAAAAGCATTCTGCATACGAGATATCGATTATGGTTTCAAGGCTCCGAACACTCGCACGCTCCTATTTCGATCCGCCGTTTTTTCCACGTCCACCCTTTTATTCGTTTCTTGCACGACATTTTTCGCTATCTCGAGATACCGTCATTGCGTTAGTCTCTTACCGTCTAGTAGAGCATGACGAATGAGCACGAACAAAAAGGGGATTCCAAAAGCTGAGAAACATAATTCATTGTTAGGCCCTACTTTTTCGCGCCGATACACCGAAACATCCGGAACTAATGAACAACTTGGAATTCTTATTATTACCTTCCCTTCTTTTACAGAATTACGCTACTAGAGCTAAACGTTTCTCGTTAAATCGATATTTCTTTCTTCCACTTCTTTTGCGAGCAATTTCGAGTCGAAGATGGAGAATTTCTACAGAGATTATTATTTTTTTATTATTCAGTGTAGCGATTACTATAATGACAATTGGAGCTGAATATTAAATCGAGAATTATAATTAATTTATCATCAGAATTAAAAATAGTTTTTATTACACGAGGAAAAGATAGGAGCTCAAATGTTTATCTCTGTGCAGAGGAATTAGTATAAATTATGGTATTTCAAAGATTTAGGTTTCAATCGTTCATTTAGGTATTAAAATTAAATAAATTTTCGAGCACAGGTTGAACAGTTTATAATTAATATTATAATATACGTGAAAAGGAATAGAAATAATTTTATATTGTGATTATTCTTTATTTGAAATTGTTTATATATAGTTTTCATTACACGAGGAAAAGATAGAAGCTCGAATATTTATCTCTGTGCAAATGAATTGGTATAAATTATGGTATCTGATAGATTAGGTTTAGGTTTCAAAGATTTAGGTTTCAATCGTTCATTTAGGTATTAAAATTAAATAAATTTTCGAGCACAGGTTGAACAGTTTAGCTTTTGAGCTCGAAAACTTCCAAGTTTCTGAGAACCTCGATTATGGTGTAATATACGTGAAAAGGAATAGAAATAATTTCATATTGTGATTATTCTTTATTTGAAAGAGTTTATGTACAGTTTTCATTACACGAGGAAAAGATAGGAGCTCGAACGTTTATCTCTATGCAGAGGAATTAGTATAATTTATGGTATCTGAAAGATTAAGTTTCAATCGTTCATTTAGGTATTAAAATTAAACAAATTTAGGGTACAGGATTGAACAGTTTAGCTTTTGAACTCAAAAACTTCCAAGCTTCTGAGAATCTCGAGTATGGTGTAATATACGTGAAAAGGAATAGAAATAATTTTATATTGTGATTATTCTTTATTTGAAAGTGTATATATATAGTTTTAGTAGTGAAGTTGACAATTAGTAAGAATTAGGATGCATTTGCGATTGTTGCTTTCTGCAGAAGATTTTCATGTGGGCCATAGATTGTCTAGGGACTTATGCGGGCGAAAGTAAATCAATTCGGAGCCCTTCGAGCACTTCCGGTTCAATTGATTCAATCATCGTGAATAGCAAACTCCAAGTATCCTGGTCCTTAAAATATCGCGTGCTAAAAATTCCCACGTTCTATCTCACTGTATCTACCTTCTTACATTTTCTTTACTTTTTTGGGAATAATTAAAATTCGTTTGCAGGAAATAATATAATACTCGTGGCCACCATCTTGAGAGTGTATAGTTAATTTGTGAAAATTATTTCAATCATATTGAGATATTTTATCGTGATATCTTCATTATTACTCGTTCTCGTATTATTTTCCATTTTATTTAACTGCGAATAATTTTTGGAAAAAATGCATCAATTTTAACGGATATAAAGATTCTTCGTTATTGTTACATCGTTAAGGGATTATGTTCGTCTCGTTTTGTTCCTCATTACGATAAATTTCAAGACAATATTGAAGATTCGTTTCTTATTGTTCTACAATATGATGTTACATAAGCAAATGAACTATTACTCTAACTAGTCTTCATCAAGTTTATCGTTCGTTGTCACAAATTTTCTTCGCGAACTCGTAAATACGATTACGATTGACATTTTACTTTGTGTCATATATTC